GCCGGGCAGTGGCTTCGCAGGGCTTATCTGCGTGGGCCCTGCGAGGGAAAGGGCAGGGCAACATTCGGTGGGTGCGGCGCTGCGTTGCACCGCCGTCCGATACGACGCCGCCGCGCCGCCCGGAAGTGCCTGTCGTTGGCCGATACAGTGTAGTGCCCGCGCGAATCGAATTCCGTCTTGCTTGTGCCGCCGGGATCCGCCCTCCGCCAGCGAAGCCAGCGATAGCGGCGCGGCGAGCACCGCCTGCTTCGGCCTTGCGGCGTGTGTACACGATGGAGAGAGAGAAACATCCGAAGCAAAAAAGGCGGCGGTCGAAAAAAAAGAAAAAAAGGTGGACGCGAAAAAAGCGGAAGGCGATGTGGCGCCTTTATTAGTGGCCCCGCGGAGGCATTATCGCCGGGCCGTCATTTGATTAGCTTCTTTACGGCCTGCTGCCGCTCTGCCCTCGGCCCTGCCCTGCCGCGCTGGACGGTGGCGTGGCAGTGTGGCGGCGAGAGGTGAGAGAGAGGTGTGAATTGCCGTGCGGGTTAATTGGAAGGGAACGGGCATGAGTGAGTGGAGTGGAGCAGCTCGCTACTCTGGAAGCTGCAGTCCGCCGCCTCCGTCGCTCTGTCTCTCTCGCACTCACGGGGCCTTGGGCACGGGTGCGAGAGAGGCAGAGCGATGGAAATGACTCTCGGTCGGCTGGAGTTTATTTTCAGTGGTCAGGCGTGTCTCTCACAGGCCGCGCCGCACCTTGCCCGGCCGAGTGGCGGAAATGGCTTTTCGGAAGCAAGTTGTCCGATGCCCGAGGCGGCGCGGCGTCCTGGTGCCGGCCGAAGACTCACTTCACTGGGTCGACTGGCCAAGTTAGAGTGCGTCGGTCGGTCGGTCGGTTCGGTTCACACCACCACCGCCGCCGGCTGTTCCCGGAGAGCGTCGCTGTTTCTCTCTCGCACTCGCGGGGCGTGGCGTTGGGGTGCGAGAGAGACTGCTATTGCACTTGGGCGCGCTCCAGTTGGCCTCTAATCGCGGACAAAAGCGTGAACCACGCCACGCCGGGCACCCCCGCCGCCGTGATTGGGTCGGAACGCGCGAGAGGGAGAGAGAGAGAAAGAGGCCGCGGTGCAAGAAGGCGGTTTCACGGTGTCTCCTCTCGGCGGTGGCGTGCCCTCGGCGTGCCCCGGCCGGAAATGACCGCCAACCGGAGTGGAGGCGCGACAAACCGCGGCGGCGGGGAGGACGTGCACGTCGTCGGACACTCGGACAGGTCGGCCGTCCGTCGGGCTCCCCCTTTGACGCCGTCCGCCGCGGCGCCGCGGCCAACACGCCGAGTGCATTTGGCGCCGTCAATGTTGCATGCCGGCGTCCGACTTGGCAGTGCGGCGGCACGGCGCGGCGGCACGTCATCGCCCGGGATGAGTGTGGCTCGGCGTGGCGATGGCGCGCCGCGCGGGGGTGACGGACCGACAGAAACACTTTCTCGAGTGGAAATTCTCGCCGCGGCGGACAGCCTCCCGTGTGTGTGAGTGTATGCCTTCGACTGTCTGTCACGATTCGTTAGCGCCACGACACACACACACTCACACACACTCACACACGCGACCGCAAAGCAGGCAGCTTGCAATTTGTAGGGAAAATGGTGCGGGGGGGCAGAGGCGCCGTGATACGCGGTGCCTGCCTTGGCTGCCCCGCTGGTGGAACTAATGGCATCGTAATTGACATCCTTGCAAGCCAACATAAGACGGGGCCGCCCTCGCCCCCGCCGCCCCTCGCGGGGCCCCGCCGCGCCCGCCGCGCCCCGCCGCGCCCCTCGCACGCGCCGCGAGGCGATAACAGGAGGGCCATACGCGTGCCGCGCTGGCCGACTAATGGGGGCGGCTGGCGCATGGCTGGCGCATGGCTGGCCGGCGCGGCATGGGCATGGCATGGACGGTGCCGTCTCGGCCGGCAGGCTGACTCCGAACCCGGTCGCCCCTCTCTCTCGCACCCCTAGGGGCGCACCCACCCCCTGCGAGCGCGTGACTGTAATACGGGCCGATGCCGAGAGTCGTTCTCGTCGGTCTGTCCTTCTCGCTCCCTCACGGGACGCCCCATGAGTGCGAGAGAGACAGAGCGACGAAAACGACTCTCGGCATCGGTCTGGTGTTGGGAGTCGGCGCAGGATCTGGCCGGGGACCGTAACTTGCCGAAATGATGGCCCGATGGATTGGGGGCCCGGCCAATTATCCGCGCTAGTCCGGTGCGCGCCGCGCTGCGCTTTGCGGGTTAATTAATTCGGCTGTTTGATTTCTGACTCGGTGTTGCCGCTGGGAACGAGCGGCGTGCCCGCCCCGCCCCGCCCCGCCCCGCCGCCCTCCGCTCCGGCCGGAGTAGGGAGGAGAGATGAGACGGTTTGAGTTACGACGGCCGGCCTCGGGATGCGTGCTTTCTCCGCTGCGCTGCGTGCAGTGGCGTGCTGGCTGCACCTCCCGGCCGCGGCGTCGCAGCGCACCGCCACACCCTAAAAGGGGAAGTGCGGCGGCGACGCCAAGATCAACAAACGTATGGCCGGGCGTCTGGGCGCGGCGGCATGGCGTGGCGGTGGCGTGGGGGCGTTCGGTTCGTCTGTCGTCGCGGCGCCGTTTGGCGGACGGACGGCCAGCGGACTGATTCCGGGAGTCGCTTTCGTCGCTCTGTCTCTCTCGCACCCAAGCCGAGCGCCCCGTGAGTGCGAGCGAGACGGAGCGACGAAAACGACTCTCGAGTCTGCTGGACGGCCGCGTGCTTTGACGTGACGTCAATCACGGGGAAGCAGGCGCGGCGTCGGCGTCGCGCGCGCAGTGTCTCGTCACTCGCTCGCACCCCCGCGCGACGCCGCGACGCCCCACGAGTGCGAGAGAGGCAGACCACCCGCTCGCGGAATCCGTCTGCCTTCGGCCCCGCCGTGCGCGCGCCGACGCCTTTCTCGCTGCAGTTGCGCCCTTCCTTCAGTGCCGTCGTCGCTCGGTCTCTCTCGCACTCGCAGGGCGTCCCGAAGGGGTGCGAGGGAGATGGATGCCGACGGAGGCGCCGCTCGGAATGGGCCTGCTGCACTGTCTTTTGTCACACGCGACGCGCCTTGCTGCGTTTCCCCGCCACCGTGTCCGGCGCACTCCTCGGACGCGACGTCGCTTCGCGTTGCGTCGCTCTCGCCGTCGGCCGCGTCTGTCACGGCGCTAGCGCTACCCCTCGCTGTCGCGTGAATTAAACATGAGTGCGTCGCCCCCCCCCCCCCCCTTTTCCCCCGTCGAGTCCGCCGCAGCCTGGCGTGCAATTGTGCGTGTGCGCTGCCGCACGGGCGTTGCGGCGGGCTGGTTGCGAAGAGAGCGGTTCGCTGTCTCTCTCGCACTCGTGGGGCGCACCGCTGGGGTGCGAGAGAGAGAGAGAACGACGGAGCGGCCCGCCGGTGCGGCTGACGCAGGCTAACGGAAGCGCGCCGCCGTGGCGGCTGTCCGGCTGTCGTTTAGGTCCCCCTGCAGTGTAGGCCCCGCCTTGTCTTTGCAGATGCATCCGCCGGGCGGACAGTGCAGCGATCTGTGGGGGGCCGAGTTCAAGGGCTCGCCCTGCCACCAGAGGCAAGTGGCTGCTAGTGAGTGAGAGAGTGAATGAATGAGTGAATCGACATGGTGGCTGGTGGCGCTGCCGGGGTTGTTAACCACTAACTGCAGGCTCATTCCCGACTCGGTCGCACTTCCGTCTCTCTCGCTTCGCGACGGCAAGCCCCTCGAGTGCGAGAGAGACAGAGCGACGAGGCCGCTGTTCGGAGGGAGCCTATTGCCGCGGCTAATGACACGCTGTACTAATCCGCGCGGCCCGGGCCGGCCGGCTGGAGAGGGCTCGCGTGCGTCGTCATGACAACGCGTGTCTGCCGCCCGCCGCCGTCTGGCCCGGTCCGGCCGGCCGGCCGGCCGAAAGTGAGTGCGTGGGTGTCGGACTAATTCTTGGCCCGGCTGGCTGGCTGGCTTGCCGGCTGGCTTGCCGGCCAGAGGGGGCACGAAAAAGAGTGCCTCCACGCGGGCCGCGCCGGCAGCGCTAATTTGTAACGTGACTGTCCGGGCCGGGCCGGGGCCGCCTTGCACTGCCTTGCGCGGCCCGCCCCGCCGCGGGCAAGGCCGTGTAGTTGGCGCGGCTTCGCGGGACGCGCCCGTCTTGGCGACGTCGTCGCGGTGCTCGGCGCGCTGCTCGCCCCGCGGGAGGCTGGTGCTCCAGTTCTGCTCCGCCGGTGGGCTGCCGCGCTGCCGGCCGGGGCGCCCCGCCGCTAAAAGAATAATTAACAGCGAGCCCTGCAGTGGACTTGCAGTGGCGTGGCGGCGCCGCCCCGGCCTGGGAACTTCATTATGTCGCCCTAATGACGTTTGCACGTCGTAGCAAAACGTCCATTGTTTATCTCGGGCAATTTTTCTATTAGAACCGAAATGGAAAAAAGAAGGGAAGACGGTGCCGCTTTTTCTGCTTCTGCCTCTAGAAGGAGCGAATCTCTCTTTGGCTTGCATATTTTTGGTACTCTAATTTTGGCGTGCCCTCTGGAGCGGTGCTGGTTCGGCCTAGCCGCGCCCCGCCGCGCCCTGGCCCACCTCAACCCGGCCGGGCTTGGCTGCCTGGCTTGTGCTCGGGCCGTCGGCCGGCGCGCCTCACATAACAGAACTAACTAAAGTTAATGAGTTGATGTGTGCGAGCCGTCCATTGCGCCGTGCCGGCCGTGCCCCGCTGCGTCCTCAGGTGGTGTGCGTGCGTGTGTGTGGCGGTATCGGGCAGGCAGTGCAGGCAGTGCAGCCTCGACATTTCGAGTTATGTCTTTCCGGCCGTTCTCACCGTCTGCCGGGAACCGAACGCTATTGGTCGAGTGCCGTACACTACACTGTACTGGGCCCGGTCCGTTACCATTCCGCCGATACGCCACTTGTTGATGTGGGTCAGGAAGGAGGGTTTGGCGGCGCGCCGGTTTTGGTTTTTGTCTGTGGCTGTACTAACGGCGTGCCTTTCTTTCCGTGTGTCCGCAGGGTGCTGAAGCCCCCAGGTGGCGGTTCTTCCGACATCTTCGGCGTGGGGGCGGGCGAAGCCCAGCAGTCGCCTCGCAAGGTGAAGCAGTACATGGCGAGCAACATCTCGCTGACTGACGGCCGCCCCCTTAGGCACTGGCCCAGGCTCCACGTCGTCCGCGGCCTCCACGGCGTCGTCCGGCGAGACTCCGTCTCCCGGCTCGCCCACCGGGTCGGCTCGCAACGGTACGGCACAGGCACAGCAGGCACAACAGGCACAGGATTGTGGTGAGGTGATGGCCGCCGGTAAGGCCCCCGACGGCGAGCCCCGCGGCCGCCAGTTCCAGATGCAGAGTCACTTCTCACTGGGCGGCGACGAGAAGCCGGCCGCCCCGGCCGCTCAGGCCAGCAGTGAGCCCCAAGCCCAAGGTACGTATCAAGGTGGTGGGGGTATGCTTCCTAACCCGCGTTCGAACCGGTTCGAACCGCGGCCTAACGGCGCCCAGGACGCCGACGAGGGAGCAACCGTCGCGGGGGCGGACTGGCGGACCCGAAAAGCGAAAAGGAAAGGGAAGGGCAATGTGGCCCAAGGCCGGAATAAGTTAGCCGGCTTTCTGGCGGGGCGGTACGCTGTAATCTGAGCCGGTAATCGGGGGTGGAAAATACTGCGGCGTTCTACAGCGGGAAGGAAAGCAACTGGCTTTATCGCCACGCGGCTCTGCTACGCGTGTTGCCGCGGTGTTCGCCGCGGACGCCGCGGATCCTAGGTTCGCCTCGCGGAAGTAGGTCGGCTCTCGGCTCGCCTAGGTTCGCCTTGACAGCGCCGCTTCGCCGCTTGTTGGCGCCACGGCCTGCCGCGCCGCGGAACCTCCGCGGCCTCTACTCAGTTCTTGGTTCGTTTTGTTTTTAATAACTCCGCCGTGGCGCTTCCCGCCGACGGGGAGGTGTTGGAGGGGTCCGCCAACCGTCTGTGACGCATTGCTCTCTTCTCGGTAAAAAGTCGGTGTTCTCTGACTGGATCATCGTGATAATGACAGTGACTCGGCGCGTCATCGGCGCTGTCGCCGTCGTCGCTGCCGACGGACTTGTGGGAGTGGGCCGATGTCTGGAGGCGGTCAAAACCCCGGACGCGTCTTGAGCCACCAGAGTCGCCATTTGGGATTCGAACCGAATGTTTGACCCCACCAACGGATTGCTCTCCGAACGAGGAATCCGTTGGTAGGGTCACACGCTCGGTTCGAGTCCTGTTTAACGACTCTGAAGATCTAAACGCGTCTCGAATTTTGGTCGCCTCCACCGTCTTCTGGCCCACTGTGTTCCGTTCGGCTCCTCCGCCGAAACCCCGCTGTACATTGTTGCGAAATTCGCGGCCTCTTGCGCGACGACGACGACGTGCTGCCGATTGGGTGAAATCGCTCCCCGAGTCCGTCCTGGCTGTCATGATGCCGGTCGCCATCTTGGCCGCCTTGGTCTCATCAGTCTGTCTCGAGTTCGCTCCTTCGTCATGGTCAACTCATTTCACCACTCTCGCCTTCCTTCCTCCTTCCTCCCCCGTCTGAGCCGCGTTTTTTGTTCTCACCGGCTGGCTTTTTGTTGTCGTCGTGTCAGTGACCTGGCGTTGCTTCTCGCGCCTCGTCTTGCCCTTTGACTTTGTCTCCGGCATCTCGGCCGCGCGCCGCGCCGTGGCGAGCCGAACCGCGTTGCGCCGCGCCGGGACTGCATTCCTCGCGGAATGAATCTCTAACAATAACGCCCCGTTGGTTTCGTTCCTTATCATTTGCAGGGTGAATCGTAAAGCAGGGAAACGGTTTCTAGGACTTTGAGGCAGGTGCTCACTAGACTCTGTCCGACGGCCGCGTCCCGCCTCACCCACCCCCCGCCCACCGCACCCCACCGCGTCGCGCCCGCCTCGCCGAGGCCCTGGCCGCCCTGGCCCAGGCCGCGGCCCAGCGCTTGGGCGAGAGATATGGCGACAAGGCACGAATAGGCACAATGTAGCCTACTTGTGTATCGGCGCGGCCATCGCTCGGGACGGCTCGGGACGGCGGCGGGGTGTCAGGACAGTCTCTGTTGCAGCGCCACGCCCCGCCACGCCCCCCGCCGCGGCACCGAGAGGCACGACGCCGAGGAGGCGATGCAGGGCCCCGTCGCGATGGGGCCTCAACGCGCTTGGCTGGGCCCGGCGCTCCGGCCCGAGGCTGATGACGCGGCGGCAAATGACCGGAAATGGACCGGATTCCCACCCTTGTTTCCGGTTCCGTCGGTTCGGTCTGGCGGCGCGCCTCCGCGGTCCGCGACCGCCGGCGATGGCCTGGCGCCACGCTGCGCCGCCGCGCCGCGGTGACGGGCTGCTTGATCTGGGGCACCAGTAATGACGCATTGACTCGCACGCCGTGGGTATGGCGGCCGGTGGCGGTGCGTTGCAGCGCGGCGCGGCGGCCCGGCCCCGGCGTCCTGGACCTGCGCCACGGCCTGGGTACTTGACTGGTTGGAGCAGCCCCGCTTCAAATAGCTCGTTCCGTTCGTCCCGTTACGTTCCTCCGTAACGTTCGGTTCGCCCTGCTGCTGCGGCGGCGGCTGCCGGCCGCGCGCACCGAGCGGCTGGCGGGGGAAATATGGAATGGGCCGTTTGGGCGGCTGCTCTCGGCCCTCCTGGGCGCCGCCCTCCAGGCCCTGCTGCTTGTCGGCCGCCCGTTTAAATATTTGCCGCGCCGAGTGAGTCGGATGGCTGGCCGCCGTCGAGACCGTCGACCGTCGCCGTGGCGAATCCGCGCCGGTCACGGCCAAGGCGCCGAGCCCCGCGCACCGCCGGAAGAAGTGGTCGCGGCGATACCCCGCGGCCGACGGCGACCGACGTGCGGGGGGGGCCGGTGGCGGCCGGGGGTATTGGCGGGGTCAGTTCTTGTTTCGCCACTGATAGCGGCACCGCCGCGCACCGCGTTTCCGGGAATGGTGTCGCCAGAGCGCGCCGGCCGGCCGGCCCGGCGGCAGCGGCGTTGCGGGATGACCTGTTTGGCGAGTCCCTGGCCGTGACCGCGACCGCGTGTCGGAGGCACTGGCCGTGGCGTGGCCGCCTGGCGTGCCCTGGCGTGGCGGGGAAAGGCGTCGCGTCGCTCTCGTCGTCGCGGGCCTTGGACGCGGCGGCGGCGCTCTTGGCGTGGAGCAGGATTGGCGCGCGGGAAAGTTCGCCTGTGTGATGCAATATGGATGAGGGCGGATGAAGGCACTGCGTGAAGGCTAGTATCTGGCGGTGCCATCGGCCTGCCGCGTCGTCGCGCTGCTTCCCGACGTCCCGACGGCCCGAGGATGGCGCGGCAGTGCGGCCGGCCGACGTCGGACACCTTGCAAGGGGGGAAACTCGGGCCGAGGCCCGCGACGACGGCCCTGCTTATCGCGGAGCCAGCGCGCGCCGAGCCAATATGTCAGTCGTCTGTCTCTTTCTTTCGCACCAGCGGTCCGGCCCGGAGGGTGCGAGAGAAAGAGAAGGACGAAACCAGTGTTGAGCGGCACCGCTGGGCCTCGGCCTCCCTCGCCATCTGCTTGGCCGCGATTTCGCTCGTCTCCGCCGACAGCCCTCGGGTCTCGGACAGCCATCCCCTCCCTGCACGCCCTGCACCCCGCGGCCTGGAGCCCGGATCAGGCTGCGGTGCAATCTTGCGTGAGTCACCCGCCAAATTTGGAGGAGGGTGCCTTCCGACTGCGTGGCACTGCGTGGCGATGGCGACTATTGGCTGAGCCGGTGGTGGCGTCTTCTCCCCGGAGGGTCGCTCGCCGCACCGCGCCTCGCCTCGCTGCATCGAATGAGGCCTCTCCTCTGCTTTCCCCCTCAAACTGCGAAGGGCAATACTCTTTGGACGAGTAAACGAAAAGGCCCCGCCCCGGGTCCTCCTCGGCTCGAGGGTGGGTGGGGAGGCCGTCAAAGCCCCGTACCGGCGGCGTGGCGTGGCGTGGCTTGGTGGCGCCGGGCTGCGGGGTTATTGGAAGTCAAGTTCGCCGAAGTCATCGACACGGTTGTCGCTGGGTCGCCCCGCCCTGCCCCACCCGCCACGCCTTCGCCGTGCCGCGGGGGGTACACTGCCAACCCGCTCATCAGCCCCGGGGCCGCGTCCGCGACGCCGGGCCTCGCCGCCGCGGGCTGCCATCCCGGCCGTCCCGGTGCACACACGCAGCGCGCGCCCCGGACGCGGCCGTCCTGCCCGCCGCCATGCTCGTCACGGAGTCGTTCGTTTTGAGAAAATGACGACTTGGCGGCGGGATTGGGGCAAAAAAAATTGGTTGCCGTCGCACGGCCGCACGGCTGAGTGATTGCTCCTGGAAGGAAGGGACGGCGGGGCGGCGCGTTGACGGCGCTGCCCCATTTCTCTGACATTTCCCCTATTTTTTCGCTTTTTACCCTAATTGTCCCGATTCGACGATAAATCCACGCGCGGCCGCCGGTCGAAAATGGAGGCTAATTGCTTGTCGCGCGGCGTGGGGCGCTGGGCGCGGGGCGCGGGTTCGAGTCCCGGCGGGGTGAAGCGGGGCCGGTTGTGCTCTGCGCTGTAAATTTGACGCTCCCCTCGATTTGTGGGCGCGGCGCCGCGCGGGCTACGCGGAAGCCCAACGGATATTACGTGGCGTGACGGGGCGGTGAGGGGGCGGGGCTCGCGGCCGCGGGGGACCAACGCGCTGGCCGGCGGGTCGTGCTTTTTGTCCTCGTGGTTGTCACGGCCCGCGGCGCCACGCAGCGGCACGCCACGCCACGCCCCCCGCCGCGTCTGCACGATCGCGCGATGAAGCCCTTCCCGTCTTAATGCCCGGTTTGAATCGGAGAGGATAAAAAGACGGCTGCAAAAAAAAAGGAACTGAGAATGCGGCGTGCGCCTTCCAGCTCCAGCAGCAGCTTTAGCGGCTCGGCAGCGGACCGATTCCGAGAGTCGTTTTCATCGCTGTCTCTCTCGCACCTACAGGCAACGCCCCGTGAGTGCGAGAGAGACAGCGACGACAACGGCTTTCGGAATCGGTGTGCGCGCTGTGCGGTACCTCGGCGCGCACGTGCACGCCGACGCGGACGACGCGGACACGGTGTCGCGGCGCGTCTTCATTCGGGCTGCCGCGGCGGTACACTGTAGTACCGCCCGCCCCGGGGTGTCGTGACAAAAAGCGGCCAGGATGATAAATAAATAAAAGTAAAACTGCAATATACATGAGCCGGTGGCGTTGGCATTGATGCCGTGTCATCTAATATTCATGCTCGTTGGCGTCTCTCCTCCTCGCGCCCCCCTGACCCTTCATTTCCCTTTCTCTCTCCTCGTCCGTTGTGCATTTTCATGTTTTGCACCTCTCGGGTCGGAGCAGGGCATTTCAGCGGTCGCAGTGTGGCTGCAAATGATTTCTGCCAGCTTTTCCTGGCGAAAGGCTGTTCGTCTGAGCGTCCGTACGTACTCCAGAGGGCTGCTCGCGGGTCGGACTAAAACTTTAACCGCCCTCTGTAAATACTACAAGACTCACGGAGACCGGGCGGGTCGTTTTTGGGGCGGTATTAACCGGGTATTTTTGGGGGGTCGAGAATCGGGAGGACGATCTGGGAATGGGAGATTCGTCCTCCGACACGCAACGAAACGCTTCGTCTCTAACTCGGTGTCATCTCGCCTACTTTTCATCCATTACTTTCACCCTCCTGTACTTGTACATACGCTCTTCATCCAAAATCACCCTCATGGTTTACCTATTTCTTCCTGCATGGACTATGCTTTGTAGATCTTGTAAATAATAATACCTGTCTTGTTTGTTTTCCTTTAATTCTTGTTTCTCTTTGCGGTGGTCGCTTCTATTTCCTCGTGCTGTTGCGTGTTTGATATGCTGTGTGTTTTGTTGAATGTAAGCTAACCTTCCCCCTGCCGCTCTTCGGGCCAGTGCAGTGTGGTGGGTGTGTCCGCTCGGTCCGCCCGCTTTCCGGTATGGCGTAATTCCATCGTGCGTGTGGACCTTTCCCAGGGCAGGCTTAGGCCAGCCCCACTGGGCCCCCGCGGGGGCCGCCGCGGCGCCCCGCCTCCCGCGCGTTTTTGTCGTCATTTGCCGGTTTGTTGGTTTTGTGTGAATGTGTGCGTGGCACTGTACGTACTTTCCTTCCAAAACTGATCGCGGTGGGAATGTGCCTACCGAAGCGCATGATGCTTTGTGACTGCGTCCGACCGTGCCGGATGGGAGGAGTACCCCCTCCCCTCCCCGCGTGACATTTCTCTTTTGGAAGCCCCCGCCCTGCATTGTCTCGGGCCGGGTAACGCCGTTGCTCCAACAATTGGGGCTCGGGATGGGATGTGGTCCAGACGTTTATTTTTACGCATTGGCCCGATGACGCTTATTGTGGGTGGCGTGGCGCGGCGCGGCGGCCCAATGGACCGCGTCGACGCGGCCGGCGTGCCGTGCACCGCGGCACCGCGGCACCGCGGCGAGGTGTCGGCGTTCACACATGCCGTGCCGCCGCGGCTCTTTGTTTTTCTTTTTGTTTTGTTGTTGTTGCTGTCGATTCATTTGGCGTGGCGGTGAGGCCGAGTAACGCTAGACGCTGGAGCTCTCGGAGTGCCGCGTCTCCACGGTCACACCTGCCGCGCGGCGTGCCGGCGTACCGCCGTCCCACGGGTGTCGCGTCCCGCCGCCGCGGTCCCGCCCTCTGTTGTTGTTGTTGTTGTTTGATGCATGTGCACGTGTTCGGTGTTGCCTGCGAGCGCTGCGAGCGTGGTGGTGGTGGTTGTTGCAGTGCCGGTGGCGCTCCTCGCGGGGAGCCCTGGCACCCCCGGGACTTCCCCCGGGACCTCCGGGCCGCCCTCGTACCCGTTCCCCTTCCGCTACCACTTCCCCTGCCGGCGCAGCTTCAGGCGTCCAGGTACCTCCCCCTCCCCCTCCCCCGGCCGCGGTCTCTACGCTTGCACCGCCGCACAGTGGGCCGGGCGGTCACAATCCCAAACGCGCTTCGAGCTCCAGAGTCGCCAAATGGGACTGGAACCGAACGTTTGTTTGACGCCCCTAATGAATTGCTCTCAGAACGAGGAATCCATTGGTGCGGTCGCACGATCGGTTCGGCTCCTGTTTGGCGACTCGGGAGCTCGAAATGTGTCTGGAGTTTTGGCCGCCGGCTCTGGTCTTCTGGCCCACTGTGCGCCACTACCCGTAGGGTTGCAAACTTTGGCAATCGAAAACGTAAGAAATTAAACTGTCCTGGGTCCGATCTGCCCTGCCAACGGGTTTGATCAGAATTTATTTTGAGCACGTCACTGTTTTTGATTAGACGGGCAGTTGCATATAAGGACGACTGCACTTTCGAGTCGTTCCCTTAACTTTGTCACTGTTTTCTGTACCTATCAAATTTTTTTGGGGCCAGTGGCAGTCTTTTTCTTGTTTCCTCTTCCTGTCAGTTCCCTTCCCCAATCTTTTCTGCGTGTCTCCGCAGACCTCTGGACACCCGTAAGTACGCACGTGCCCTATTTTCTCTAGTGTTTAGTGGCTGCAGGACTTTTTGCTATCTGCACTCATGATACTATTTTATTCCTTCTGAACGAATGTTTGCGTTGCAATTGGTTGTGCATGGTAGATAAATTTTGCCCCCATTTTTAAAGACTTTTCTTGCGACTGCTACATGTTATGTTGTAGACTTTAGTGGTATATGTTTCTCAGTCATGCATTATTTTTTTTTCAACTCAATCACATCTTTCCGAACTTTTTTCACTCGTGTACGATAAAACCAGACTAGCGTCTGCTTGAAACGATTTCTTTCTTTGAAACCTGTTAAATTCTTCGCCATGCGGATGTAGTACTTTCCGAAATTCGCATGCACGCGTGCACACTAAAAGTGCTGCTAGAGGCGGATGGTTTTCGTCTTTTTTCGAGTGTGGTGGCGCTGATTGTCCTCGCGTTGTGTTTCAGATGGCAACCCCGTGACTGGCGAGGGCTACAAGGCCCCGGCCGCCGCGGCCAACCGTAGCCGCGTGCCTCCAGGCGGCTACTCCTCCGGACTGTGGTGAAGGACGAAGGACGCCCAGCTCGCAGACCACCGCGACGCCTCAACTCGACATCCGTCTCCACCGCCCGCCCGTGTCATCCGTCCCTCCTACTACCGTCATCTCTCTCTCTCTCCTTGTTGATTTTAAATTGTTTTAAACTTTTAAATTGAAAAAAAAAATTGACCAACTGTTTTATTGATTTGTCAGGATGCGTTGAGTCTTCTCTGTACTTCATTGTGAGAGCTTAAGTCTGCAACGGTTATTTTTTTTTTCTGGAAATTTGTTTGTGCCTGCCTGACACGGGGCTAATGTAATTTAACTTCGTTCAAATTACATAAATATTGTTTTCTTTTGTACTTTTTCACATGATTGTGTGTTATCTGGAACGTTGGTAGATGTAGTGCTTTTTTATATGTTTCTTTTGTAGATTTGATAATGGGTTTCGTGATGTATCCGTTAAGCTATTGAAGTTAGTTTGTCAGAGCTTACCATGTCAGCTGATGCATGCGGCATTAGGAGAAAGCGAATTCAAAGTCTGATTTTAATGATTTATTGAAACAACTTTTCAGTCGAGTTGCTGAGATATTTGTGTACATATTTATTATTTATGAATATTCCGGTTGCAAGGGATTAAAATTCAGGCTTTAGTTTGGTTTAAATGCGCGTGTGCATATATTCCTAAGAAGTGACTGCAAACAATTATGTTCCCGCTCCTTAACCTAAATAAACATTTTTACATAATGTCAACTTGTGTTTCCTTTCATCTCATCCTTGTGAACTGCGCACACCTTTTATGGGAATAAGAACACTGAGCAAATGAAAAAGAAATAAAAACGTCGAGCAACCCATGATTATGGTCCCTTGAAATGAGGCAATTATATAATTAAAAATTAATCAACTGAATTGGATCATCATTTACTTTGAAAGGGGCAACAGAGTATACAATGAGCGAGCACTAAATAAAGTCTGTTGTAGAAAAGATGAGACCCCTAGACAGGAGGCTCTAAACTTCAATGAGAAGGCTTTTCGATTAGTAAGAAACCCTGTTACAGGTCGGCCCAGAATGGTCAGTCGTAAATCATGTATTTCCGAATGCCTCGAGTTTCACGATAGCGAGGCCACTGGTTGCACGGGGTATGGCCGGAGGGAGAGGGAATGGAGCGCGCTCGCGCCATCTAGCGGAGGCAAAAGGAACCTTCGGGCGTGGGGTAGCGCCGCTCCAGCGCGGCGGCGGCAGATTCAAACCACTGCGGTCTTCGCTCGCGGGCGCGCTGCTTCACAGACTTCAAATTCACATCTGGAAAATTAGTGGAAATTAGCCTTCGCTACTCCGCGGGGGCGGTCACAGTGGGCCAGAAGACCGGTGGCGGCGGTCGAATTCCCGGACGCATTATGAGCTCCGAAATCACTCAGTCGGACTCAAACCGAGCGTGTGACCCACCAATGAATTGCTCTTTGAACGAGGGATCTATTGGTGGGGTCACACGCTCATTTCGAGTCTTGTTAAGCGACTCTGGAGCTCGAAACGCGTCTAAACTTTTGGCCGCCTGCGCCGGTCTTCTGGCCCACTGTGCGTGGGTAGGGCGGTAATTTCTTCTCGGGCACTGATTGCGCCCCAGCATGAGCAGCCATTGGGGGTTTTGGCGAGCCCGGCTGCTAAATCCTCGGGGACTAATTGCTGCGCGAGTTTGGAGACGCGGCGCGCCGTGCAGCCTGACGGGAATGATGCAGGAGAGGGGGAGGGCACGATAAGACGTGCTCTTTCCCCTCTCGAGTTGATGTCACCTGCGCCATGCGCCGCCTTGCGCGAGAGATAAGCAGTCCGTGACGGAGGCAGCGTGGCAGCCCCAGGCAGGGGTTTACGTTTGCATCATCCATGCACACAGCAAAAAAGGAACGAAAACCACCAGCGGCAGAGTGGCTTGCTTTCAACACCGGGCTCCTCAGCAGCGTCGCCACCTAAGTGGGCAAACATCTCCCGCGAGTTAGCAGTGCTGACAGGGTGGTCAACCTCAGCCCGCTCACTGGGCAATGGCCGATTTCACCAGAGGTGGCAGCAGTGAAACAGAAGACAGTCGGTCCACAACAAACAGACGACAAACGCGCACAAAATGGCCTCTTTAACGGTCATTTGTGCGCGTTTGTCGTCTGTTTGTTGTGGACCGACTGTCTTTTGTTTCACTGCTGCCACCTCTGGTGAAATCGACCATTATTTGTGCTATATGCCCTGGTGAAGTAGCTCAGTAGGTGGGCCGAGGTTGGCATCCCTTGCAATGCCGGTGCATGCTGGGAATTCTTTTTATTTTCCTAGTTATGTGGTGACACTGTTCTCTGGCGCCTGCCGCTGCCTGGCGCGGTCTCCAAGGCCTCCGCCGAAGTCCAGGGAACGGCAGCCTTGGGCCTCGGGGCCGGTCTCGCCGGTCTTTGTTGCCCTGGACCGCCCAACTTAATTCAAGTTTGCCTCCGGTTTGGCCGATAGCAGAAAAACAGCTGTAGTTACACATCGGGCTGACGGCCCAGGCCTTGGCGGCCTTGGCGCAAAGTTTGCTGTACATCCTGGGGGAGCCAGCTGCGTCCAGCGCCACCGCCTCCGAGCCCTGCCTTGCCTGCAGCGCGCCCGACGGCGCACAGGGGCCGAAGACCGGTGGAGGCGGTCATGATCCAGGACGCGTTTTGCGCTCCAGAGTCACCAAATGGGACTCGAATCGAACGTGTGACCGCACCCAATGGATTGCTCTCCGAACGAGGAATCCTGGTGGGGTCGTAAGTTTGGCTCGAGTACCATTTAACGACTCTGGAGCTCAAAACGCGTCTAGAGTTTTGACCGCCGTCGCCGGTCTTCTGACCCACTGTGCGGCGTCCCCCCCGCGATGTCACTCGTGGTGTCCCAACAATGCGAGCCGCTGCCCGACAAGGTCATGTCGCGGGGCGACACGGCAAGCCTGTGGCAGCCTGTGGCTTGCACGGCCTGTGGCTGCGCGGCATTCCGGCCGTGTGTGCCCGCACTGGCATGCAGGCGCAGGCTTGGCGCAGGCCCCACCGCGGGCCGCGCCGCGTGGCGGTGTTGGGGAAATGGGTTGGGGGCGACAGTGGTCCCCGGGGATGGCGACGCCCGCGTCCGCCGCGCTGGGCCTCGGGGAGGGTCTCGGGGAGGGCCGCGAGGACGACATGGTGCCCCGGCCGCGCCGCCGACAGCCGCGACAGCCTCCGCTAAGCGGCGGGACGGGGTAGGCGTGAGGCCCGCTCCGCTCTTGGGCCCGCCACAGCGCCCCGCCGCGGAGCCCCTCAGACGGCGGCAGACCGTTGCGCGGCGAGCATCGAAGCCTGGACGGCCTGGACGGGGTGGTGGAGGCCCTCTCCGTCGAGAGCGCGCTGCGCCTGCCAGCGGGCCGAGCCTGCCGGCCGCGCCACAGCCACGCTACCCCCAGCGCCGCGCCACGCCGGCAGTCGCACCGCGCAACCCCCCGCGTAGCCAAGCCAGCCAAGCCAAGCGGCCCGAGCCGAGCGGGGAGCAAGGCGGGGACTCTGGACCGCGCAGCGCATGCCGCGCACTCGTGCGTCGAACCGCGCCGCGACACCGCGAGCCGCACGCTCCGCACCGCGCGAGCAGCGCCCGCGTCCACACGCGTGAGTTACAGTGCGGGAGAGACGAGGTGGAGTGAGTGGGTGGTGGACACGGCGCAGCAGAGGTGGACCAGGTGGCCGCTAACCAAGAGTGCAACCCCCGCGCGTCCCAGGCAGGTAAGAAGAAGCCACCTAGCCGGAGCCACCCCCGACGTGCCGGACCAGTATCTCTCTCTCACACACACCGATACACTGACACACACATACACTGCCGCCTCACGTAACGTGTCGTGAATAAAAGATCGAACGGTGAGCAAGCAGTTGTTGTCCGGTGGCGTGCCGACGCTAGCCGACGCCATGAGGGCCCGCAGCAACACCAGCAGCCCCACAGCCATTACACCGCACGCTCGCGCGTCGATAACTGTTTACCAGCGAGTCCTGTGGGCCCCGTCCGTGCGCGAGGGGGCAAAAACTCGCGCAATCATGTGTACACGGCCCCCGAAATCACACGCGAATCATTGAGAATCACGCGAAATCAAGCAATCCGAAATCAGCCAAAATCACTAAAATCGACCGAAATTAGGCAGAATCACACGAAACCAGGCCAAATCAGTCCGAAATCATTTCTTTCCGAACACAATCACACGCAATCACGCTCAACATCACCTTGGTGCGTCGCGAAATAAGGCAAAATCAGCCATGAAATCAATTAAAACCATGCGCAATCATTGCGTTTTCCGAATCATGTGTACACGAAAATCCCGAGTTTTTGCCCCCTCGTCCGTGCGTGTGTGTGGGTGCACGTATGCGTGTGTGTGCGCGCCTGCACATGATGGCGTACTGGCGCACGGAGTGACTCCCCGGGGCCCAGGCACGGCTCCAGCACGGCTCCAGGCTCCACGCTCCAGGACGCCATTAATTGGCCAGGGAAATCCAGGGCCGTCCCTGCTGGCCCCCTCGGTGGCGTCGTTGGTCCCGGTTGGTTGGTGGCCGCACCGCCCGCACCGCCACACTGGCGAGGTTGGGGGCGACGACAGCGCTGCCGATGGATGATGCGCATCACGCGGCATTGGCGCGAATCAATGAAGAATGCTGCGGCCCGTCCCAGCCGACCCAGCCGCCCCGCCAGCGCCCCAACAACCTCGTCGTCGTCCTCGTCGTCCTCGCGTGCTTCGGGTGATGAATGACGGCACGGTGTCGCTGTGTCGCTCGGGGCGTACACAAAGCCCGAAGCAGGCCGCGGATATTTTGGAGCGTTCGATACGCAGCCCGCCGCTCCCTTTCCCCTCGACGTCGCGCCGTCGCCCCGCTCGACACATCCAACTCTTTGCAAATTGCGAATTACGCACAGACCTGGCCGCGGCGGCGGGGGGAGGGTGGAGCAAGCGGGAGTGCACCGCGCCAGCCGTCGCACAGTGGACCAGAAGACCGGTGGAGGCGGTCAAAACTCTTGACGTGTTTTGAGCTCCAGAGTCGCTAAATGGGACTTGAACCGAACGTGTGACCCCTCCAATGGATTGCTCTCATAAACGAGAAATCCATTGGTGGGGTTACACGTTGGATTCGAGTCCTGTTTGGCGACTCTGGAGCTCAAAACGCCCGTAGAGTTTTGGCTGCTTGCGCCGGTCCTCTGGCCCACTGTGCGTCGTGCAACTTCTCGATCGAGCACAACTTGTCGTTGTCGAGGCAGTAAATGCGCCCTCCTCAAGTTTCGCACTTACTGGACGGCCGAGGCCCCCGAGGGGGTAGGGGGCGATGCAAGTACAATGGGGCGACACGAGAAATAAAAAACGGAATCACGAAGCAGACCAGCCAGACGAAAGTTGCCTCCAGCTTTGGGAGAGACAGACACCCCGCTCCGTCATCGGATCGAAAAACTTGGGAACGAGAAAAACAGAGAGCCATGATTGTCCTGTTAGCGTGGGCCGCGCCCCATCCCGCCGCGCGCGCCTGCGACTTGGGTTGCCTACCCGCCGGTCCGCGGGCGCCCCGCCATTACCATTAAGGGCCAGACCACACATGATCATATGCCATTTCGGGCCCGACACATGCCCGCCTGCACTGCAAAACGAGACATGGCCGTCCTTACTAAGGTGACACTTTATCCCGAGGCCCCGCCTTGCCTAACGCGGCCTCGCCGCACGGGCCGCTCGGTGTCGCCTTTGCCCCCGACAAGGCCGTCG